GGCGGGCGGGTGTGAGGGGCGGGGCGGTTCGTGCCCAGAGCGGAGCCCGCGCTGTTCCCGGGCGCATTCCCGGCTCGGTGTTGGGAGCGTGGGGCCGCTGCTCGGGCTCCGGGAGAAGCGTGCGGCCGCTGCGGGGTCCCAGCCCGCAGAGCTGGCTGCTGGCCGAGGCTGCAGTGCCACAGCTGCCATGCCAGAGCTGCCGTGCGCCGTGGCAGTGCCAGAGTCCCTGGCAGAGCCGGCCTGGCACTGCCAGCTCCTGAGAGAAGCCCTGCCATGGCAGAGACGGGCTGGCAATTCCGACAGCTGAGGGAAGCCGTGCCGTGGCAGCGCCGGGCTGGCAGTGCCGACAGCTGAGGGAAGCCGTGCCGTGGCAGCGCCGGGCTGGCAGTGCCGACAGCTGAGGGGAGCCCTGCCATGGCAGCACCGGGGCCCCCGAAGGAGCGACCTCTGGGACCTGCCGGCAGGCTGGCAACTGCTTGGCCCTCTTCCGTAGATCGACAGAGTGGCACCACAGATAGCAAAATATTAAAACATCTGATTTAAAACACCGGAGGGAATCCATAGAATTGAAAAGAAAATGAAGGTGTACCAAAATACTCAGGGCATGAATGGGAAAACTGAAAAGATACAGAATCTATTTATATAATCTCAACTATATCATCAGAAACATGAGGGTGAAAATACCTTCTAAAAGTTTTGACAATAGAATGGTTCAGCTCTGTAGTGTTGCTAGTACATTAAAGTCTTAAAAAGCAGTCATGTATTCCTTTGTCCAGTGCTATGAATTTAATAACGGGATGTGTTACAGTTGTCCCTCAAATACGCCTCATAAAGAGAGTTGAGTGCTTAGATTCGATGGAAGCCATCAGTTAGTAAATGTAGTGTTGTGGTTTTTAGTAGTTCTGTAGTAAGTAGTTAGTAAAAGAAGTCATTGTTCTGCCAATGGATGCTGATCCCTGATGCGTTCGTACTGGTTCAATGGAAAGGCAAACTTTTAGTAATAGGGTATTGGAAAACATGTCTTTTCTGCTGGTAGCAGGTACAAACACATTGCTTTTACTGGTAGAAACTGAAGCAACTTTAGATGCCTGCTCGTTCTTCTCCACCTATGTTAAAAGGAGATCCCTGCAGGTTAAAACATGAACCAAACCTCGAGGCTCTGGGCCTGTGCTGCAGGCTCAGCTGCCTCTCCCCACAATCAGCAGAGGAACAGCCAGAGGACACTGCAGTGTTCCTCAATGCAACAACGGGAGGAGAAGGCGGGCAGGAGCAGGGCTCACATAGACAGAGAGGATCAGCACCTCGAAGTGACCACATCATTCAAGGAACAGGGACTGACTGCTGACAGCTGCCCTGTGAGACAGCAAGCAGGAGGGCCCTGGTGCCAGGGAGCCAGGTGAGGGCAAAGCAGCCCTCTGACAGACAGCCTGGCCCAGGGGCTCTTGTGGCAGCAGGCAGCGTGGGGATCAGAGCAGAGGCAGGGGGAGGCAGGAGCTGCTCGGCCATGCCGGGGCTGGGAGCCTAGTTCCTGCCCAAGTGGGTCCCAGCTGGGCCAGGGGGCAGCTCCTGGGACAGCCGTGCCCACAATGGCCCCTGCTCTGCAAGGCCTCCAGCCCTGCCCATCAGCCAGGCAGGGACAGAGCAGCCTTGGGGCCGATGCTGCTGCAGGCTCTGAGCCCCGCAGAGCTGCTCATGCCCCGTGCCATTGGCTCTGTGCCCTGCAGCCTGCGTGCTGTGTCGCCGTGCCGAGGCTGACCCGGACATGTGCGGTGACAAACTGCAGAAGGGTGGGCTCTGTGCCCACAGGTTCTGCATGGTGAGTGGCTCCGGGCGCTCCCTCCACCTTTGCAATGGGCAGCTCCTGCCGCCCTGTCCTCATCAGCTCCTCCCCTTGCCTGCAGCTCTTCGCCACTCTTCTATTTCGGCAGGAGAACCGCAACGTTGGACTCATGGAGTTTCTCCCTCGAGATCTCCTAATTGTAGTGAGGCGGGCGGCACAGAAGTTGGGCAGGGAGATTTCTGCCTGGGGCGGTTTGCCAGAGCTTAGCCCAGACAGCAAGAAAGAAAGGCCGGCCCGACAGGCGGGACAAAGTCTGGCTCCCAGCACCTCTGGCGCAGAGGCCCTGGCACAGGAGCCTCCCTCCTCCAGCAGGCGGCTCTGTGGGCTGGGAGCCGGCAGCGGCTCTGGGCCTGTCCTGCAAACTCCCCCCCTCCATTCTTTCTCCCCTAGACAGAGAGTATCTGCACCTCGCAGTGACAACATGCCTCGAGGACTGCGACGCAGGAGAGACAGCCACCATGTCTGACAGCAAGCAGGAAGGCGCTGGTGCCAGGGAGCCAGGTGAGGGCAAAGCAGCCCTCTGACAGCCTGGCCCAGGGGCTCTTGTGGCAGCAGGCAGCGTGGGGATTAGAGCAGAGGCAGGGGGAGGCAGGAGCTGCTCGGCCATGCTGGGGCAGGGAGCCTCCTTCCTGCCCAAGTGGGGCCCAGCTGGGCCAGGGGGCAGCTCCTGGGACAGCCGTGCCCACAATGGCCCCTGCTCTGCAAGGCCTCCAGCCCTGCCCATCAGCCAGGCAGGGACAGAGCAGCCTTGGGGCCGAAGCTGCTGCAGGCCCAGAGCCGCACAGAGCTGCTCACGCCCCGTGCCATTGGCTCTGTGCCCTGCAGCCTGCGTGCTGTGTCACCGTGCTGAGGCTGAGCCCTGTGCCTCCCCAGGTCCTGGCAACTGCTCCTGTGCTGCTCCTGCACAGCCCAGGGCACCCAGGGGCCCTGCTCAGGCCTCACGCAGACCAGAACCAGCTGGGGCTGTGACAGCTCTGCTGCTCTGGGCCCAGCCCTCGGGCAAAGCACCCGCCTGTCCCTGGGCTGGGGGCAGCGCCCAGGCTGGGCTTGGCAGAGCCCGTCCGCTCCTGGAGGGCTGGGGGCACTGCTCTGGCCTGGCCCGGCCCGGCCCTGGGCTCCCTTGGCATTCCTGCTTGCCCTTGCATCCACCAGGGATGGGCTGCAGCTCAATGGCCCCGGCCTGGCCGCACACTCAGGCCTGGAGCCTTCCCGTGGCTCCCCAGGGCACGAGAGCCTCAGCCCCAGCTCCCAAACACGGCCCAACAGGCTTTGCTGATATTGATCCCTGTCAGAGCTTTGAAAGCATTTTCAAAGTAACCTTGTTTGGCACCACTTTCAAGGAACAAACGTGACTCGCTTCTAATCCGTAAAAACTTTATTGGTTTGCTTGCACTTCCTATAGGGTATCCTAATGCTTCCTTTGGCGTTCCAGAAAATAATGAAAATCTAACAAATTCTAAAGAGAAGTTCCTGAATCCACTATGAGGAGAAGTCTCTACATTCACTATCCTTACATACACTTAAGTAGCTGCTCCTGTAACACACAGAGATGTACTGGTTTACCTGACTGGACCACACAACATGATGTTATACACACCGCTACACTGCAAAACTTCTCTTCCCTGTTCATTACAAATTTGAAGCTCTTCTCGAGGTCCTGACTTAATTTTGCATGCACATTCATACCTGCAATCCCTCCCCATGCTCAGCTTTCACCTAGACTTACCAGGGAACAGATGTTCCATACTCACCTCAAGCAATAATCTACGTCTGTCTTCCAAACCCTCTTTTTCTTCACTGACTTCTACTAATCTACAAAATAACTGCGGACCCTCTGCACAAAAGAAACATCCAATTAATAGCCTTAAACACTTGTGATTGTGCTGCTGCTTCTAACAATCATGTCCAACACAGCACTAAAATCAGAAATCAATTCTCACATCCTTCCTGTTCTCCTGCCCCCACCACACCTTGGCTCCAGCAGAAATGTTCCCTACTGCAGCCTGGTGTGCTAAGAACAATCAAAGGCAGCAGCACTTTCCCTCAACATGCTGCAATCTCAATTGCACTGAAGTTGCAGCTGTTGCATTAGAAGCTCAGCACCAGCACCCCACATCTTCCCCCAGAACTGAGGCCTGAGCTGTCCATTTCAACACACCCTGTAAATCAGGCTGCCTGGAAGATTGCAGGCCGGGAACTGTGTGAACACAGCAGTGCATTTCAGCAGAGTTATGGAATCAATCTCATGGAAGGCACATCCCTTAAGCTTAAGATTCTATTCTAGAAAATCTAACCAGCAATTGTTTTGGTGGCCTGTGCAGGTTTTGGGGACTGTGCATGTTTCCTTTGGATGTTGTTTTCTTTGTTTCTAAATACAAAATTCACTGCATTCAGAAGAGAAAGCCCCCGATTCATTAGGACAAAGAACCACAGGGACATATGTGGCTGACAAGAACACTCAACATTCCTAATGGTAACACCAGAAAGAGGGGAAAAACATAAAGATGCTTTAAATACCTGAAAGGATCCAAAATGTCTAGGTAACCTGTCAAGTGACTAAGTTTTTGGTAAAATCTAAACGTCCAGATTCCTATTTGGTAATTGTCTGAAAGAAAAGAAAGCCAGAAATCTGCTTGAACTTTATTTGGTCAGGACTTTTTCACGGGATTCTGCCACAACTTGGATCACAAGTGAGGGTGGCAAATTTTGACTAGAAAGCTTTGATAACTAGGCAGCATTTTTTCCTCCTCACTGAATTACAGGAAGGGTATAAAAGGAAAAAAATACAAAAGGGGTTGAAGAAATTCTGTCATACCTCTTAGGCGTTCATCATCTTTGGAGAAGGAAAAAAAAAACTCTAGCACTTTCTGTGCGTGGTAAAGAAAGAAACCTAAAAAAGGACAAAGGGATTTGAGCATCCTAAATTGTACTATCAAATTCCATGAACACAAGTTAAACCTGTAGTGCTTCAGAGAAATGGCGTACATTGAAAAGCTTTATTCCCGAGGAACCGAATAGAGCTTTTTATTTTACAAAACCCCTTAAAAGTAAAGAGAAAACTGACTGTGTCTTGGGCTTCTGGCCAAACTCAGTTTGGAGTTGGTCAAACCAAAATGACCCAGTTAATTTCTTGTGCTCTACTCTTTCTTTCCATATTCACATTCACATCCAATGGGCTGCTGGGAGTTTTGACTCTGTGCAGCACAAACGGATTTCCAAGATGACTTTCATTGCTCAGAGGTGTGCAACGTCAGTTTCCCATTCCCTGAGTGCTGCTATTAATATTCCCACAGCATCCAACTACTACAGCCAAGTAGACAACAAAGAGAAATGCAACTTGCATTTCTTGCTCCTGTTCCATTTCTGTCATCTCAGGCTCATCGTCACCCTCAGAACTGCTGTCCTGGAAACGTGGATCCTCTTGCCACGTGGCTTTTACCGGCTTTATTGTCCCAAGCGCGTGAGGCTCTGCAATGACAACGCCAATAGAGAAAAAAAGCCAAAACCTGATTATTCCTCTACTCATCAGGAAAAATTCCTCCTTTCACGTGAAATACTTACAGTGGAGAAGAGAGATTTAGGAAGGACAGAATCTGACCCTGCCAGATTTTCTAAGCTACATCTCTGCTCCAGTATTTTCCACTTTGTTCCAGGGATCCCTTATGTATTCTTAAACATTTCTCATTGCATTCAGAAGACACTGAATACCTTCTCAGTTCAGCACAAGTCTGGGGGGCTCGTTGCTTTGTGCTGTTGCGTTGGGTTTTTTAATATTTTGCATAACTTCACGGGGTTTCTTTTCTCTCCTACATGACTGGGACTCGAGTCAATGTTGTTTCATCTTCATTTCAGACGGCCTCATTTTATCTAAGGTTAGGACACCCCAATGATCATGTGTCATTCCATTTCCTTTTTCTAAAGGTCCAAGAGTAGAATTCAGTAACAAACAGAATGTTCATGGATCTTGGGGGCAGCTCTCGGACTTTGCTCCTCCCTCTACATTAACGCACATTTCCTTAAAAGCCTTGTGAGGTCCTATGAAACTTGATATGACTGGTGTGTCACCTTTTTCCCTGTTTGAGGAATTCAGGGCATGAGAACAAGCTTTTTCACCACTCAGCAAAAACCCCAATGCCTTCTCAAAGCATGCCTTTCAGAATTCCTGAGATGCAAGCATGAGGCACCTCTCATTAATCTATCACAGCCCTGGCAAGCAGAAATGAAGATCAAAATGCTTCTGCCTAATTACTGACTTCTGTTGCTGAAAATCCCCTGCATCCTGACCTTCTTTACACCATATTGCCCGACAGTGCCTGCCAGAAGCTCTTCCTTAGCAATGGCACTGTTAGAAGGGTTCTGCTGTTACCTTCTTTGATGCCCAACTCCTCCGTGCCTCCAAAGAAGGAAAACTTGAAAGAACTCGTCTCCTGAGCTGCGTCGTTCTCAGGCAAAGGTCCCAAATGGTCATCTGGGGCAGAGTCCTGTGCATCCTCTTTGTCCCAGGGTATTTCCTCAGTCTGTTCTGGATTGTTCTTTAAAGGTCTTTCAAAGAACAAACCAGAATAGACGGAGGAAATACCGTCTATTCTGGTTTGTCATTTGAAAGGCCACTTTCAAATCCGCAGCAACGCTGTAGAAGTTGTCTTCAGACACTTGAGGCAGTGTCTCACTCTCTTTCTTCTTTTTTTGGCTTTAATGAAATGAGATTGTTCAAGGATAGCAACACAGCACATGTCCTTTTCAGACTCAGCTTCCCTAAGAGCCACCTTGCTCTGAATGTCTCCCTAAGCATATCCAAGCCCATTAAGGAGTGGTTCATAATCAAGGGTAAGCAGTGGGGAAACATCTGAGGTTGGAGTGTAAAGGCAGGACCAAGAGTCCTTTTGAATTAGCCACATCCTTAAGTGACTTTTCACTGACTACACGGTTACACAGAAATCAAGGTATTTAGCCCAGACTTCTTCCTGCCAGTAGAAACATCAAGAGCTAATAGGGTTTGCTCACAGAGCTGCACATCTCAGGGTCCCTGCACTGACCGTTCTCACCTTCACTTCCGGCAAGCAACACACGGCCTAGAAAGAAAAGATGACGGCGCTACGTGCTGCTGTTGGAGGTCTCAGTTGAGGTCCGACGTCGCTGGTGGGAGCGGCTGCTCCTGCGGGATGTCCCCGACCATGTCCCCCTACGCCTGGGCCTCTCAGCACTGGCTGCTGTCGTCCTGCTCCTGTCCTGGCGACTCCTGGACCGCAGAGTTTGAGTCGAGACCCGGCGCTGCTGGCGGGAGCGGCTGCGTCTGGGGGACGTCCCCGATGATGTGTCCCTTCGCCTGGGCCTCTCAGCCCTTGGCCTTGTCCTGCTGCTGCTGCCACGGCGACTCCTGGAGCGGACAGGTGGACTCTGGGCCCAGCCTTTCTGGCGGGAGCACCTGCGTCTGGGGGATAGCCCTGACCATGTCCCCCTTCGCCTGGGCCTCTCAGCCCTTGGCCCTGTCCCGCTGCTCCTGTCACGGCAACTCCTGGAGCGGACAGGTGGACTCTGGGCCCAGCCTTGCTGGCTGGAGCGCCTGCGTCTGGGGGATGGCCCGGACCATGTCCCCCTACGCCTGGGCTTCTCAGTCCTTGGCCCTGTCCCTCTGTTCCTGTCATGGCAGCTCCTGGAGCGGACAGGTGGACTCTGGGCCCAGCCTTGCTGGCGGGAGCACCTGCGCCTGGGGGATGTCCGTGATGGTGTCTCCCTTCGCCTGGGCCTCTCAGCCCTTGGCCCTGTCCCACTGCTCCTGTCACAGCGACTCCTGGAGCGGACAGGTGGGCTCTGGGCACGACTTTGCCGGCGAGAGCAGCTTTGCCTGCGGCTGGGCCCAGCACGTCTGGAACGGACCCTGTCCTCAGGGTCAGGGGACGTGCTGCGTGTTGCCCTTGATCTGCTGATGCTGCTGGTGTCCAGTGAGGAAGATGGCAGCGCCTGCTGCCATGCTGCGTGGTGGGGCCTGCTGTGGCTGCCCGTCTCTGGAGATGGAGACGGGGAAACCAGCACCAATGGCACAGGGCTGTGGGAGCTGGGGCTGATGGCCTCAGATTGTGACCAGCCATGAGCAGATTGCAGTCCTGACTGTCTGGCCGGCCTGGGGCCATTGAGCTCTGTGTCACCCCTGGAGGCTGTAAGGGCAAGCAGGAATGTCAAAGATCGCCCAGGCCCCGGCCAGGCCAGGCCAGAGCAGTGCCCCCAGCCCTCCAGCAGTGGATGCTGCGCCCTGCCAAGCCCGGCCTGGGCACTGCCCCCAGCCCAGGGACACCGGGGACTTTGACTCATACATGTTCCGAGCCCCGCACAGCTGTCACACTCCCATGTCTGTGTGCTGTTCCTCAGGCCAGAGCAGCGCCTGTGGGTGCCTTCAGCAGCGCAGGAGGAGCACAGGAGCAATTGCCAGGGCCTGGGGAGGCAAACAGGCTCATAGCACTGAGAACAAAGTGTACCAGCACGTGGTCGTCCGGCCAAGCGCTTCTGGTTCTTCCCGCTTTGAGCCCTTGCCGAGACACAGGTTCCCTGCAGAGCCCCAGGTGCAGCTTCCCAACTTACCCCTGTTCCTCTGCCTCCTCCCTGCCTCCAGGGTAAAGGCAATCCCTGGCGTTGCACTGGCCGTGCCTCACTCCTAGATCTTCGAAGGCATCACTATCCTCCCATGTTGGGTCTCTGATGGAGAAAGGAAGAGATGATGAATTTCTGCTGCCCTCCCCTCATGGAGATCCAAGGTGTCCCAGCTGTTTCTCCAGCGCTTTTCCAAGTTGGGGGTGAAGCTGAAGCCCAGACTGACGGGACAGGGCAGGGCCAGGGCTCCTGGGGCAGGGCCTGGCACCGCACAGCACTTGCACCCTCTTGCCTGGTGGGCCAGGCAGAAGGACACCAACCTGAAGGGGACTCGGATCCCCAAGATGAGCATTTCAACAGGGAATTCCTCACTGTCTCTGCACAGGGGGCACTGGAAATGCAAAGCAACAGCGCACGAGGCCTGTCCCTGCAGGGCAAACACAGGCAGGGTGAGCGAGGCCCTGCTGCTGCTGCTGAGCACCTGCTGTGCCCCGGGGCTGAGGGGAGGGCTCCTACCTGGATGCAGTCCCTGTGGAACCAGGCCCTTTTGCACGTTGGGCACACCAGGGTTGTGAAGGTCTTTCTGTCCTCCACAGGCTCCAGGCAGATGAGGCAAACGGTGTCCGGCTCAGGAGTCGCCTCCACCTCCTGCTCTGGACGGTGCTCAGGGCAGAAGGACCTGGAGGAAAATGAATGGGGAAAGTGAGAAATGCTGCATCATTCCCCAGGGGGGGCCATAAAGAGAGATGAGGTACCTGAACGGAGTAATGTATACATTGACACAGCCGCCCTCCTTGGCACAGGGCAGGTGGAACCATCTGTCACAGTCCGGCACGCAGCACATGATGGTTGCCCCGTTCTGGCCGCAGACGCAGCAGCGCTGGAAAGAGCCAAGCAGCCGCATCAGCAGCAGCAGCAGCAGCCTCGAGGCCTCCCCGGGCAGCCGCAGGGCTCCGGGCAGGGCGCAGGACGTGGCCGCTGCCGGCTCCCAGCCCACAGAGCCGCCTGCTGGAGGAGGGAGGCTCCTGTGCCAGGGCCTCTGTGCCAGAGCTGCTGGGAGCCAGACGTTGTCCCGGCTGTCGGGCCGGCCTTTCTTTCCTGCTGTATGGGCTAAGCTCTGGCAAACCTCGCCAGGCACAAATCTCCCTGCTCTTGTCAGGCTCTCACCTTCTGTGCTGCCCGACAGGCCGCAATTTGGAGATCTCGTGGGAGAAAGCCCATGAGTCCATCGTAGAAGTTCTCTTGCCGAAATAGCAGACTGGCGAAGAGCTGCAGGCAAGGGGAGGAGCTGATGAGGAGAGGGCGGCAGGAGCTGCCCATTGCAAAGGTGGAGGGAGCGCCCGGAGCCACTCACCATGCAGAACCGGTGGGCACAGAGCCCACCCTTCTGCAGTTTGTCACCGCACATGTCCGGGTCAGCCTCGGCACGGCGACACAGCACGCAGGCTGCAGGGCACAGAGCCAATGGCACGGGGCATGAGCACCTCTGCGGGGCTCAGAGCCTGCAGCAGCATCGGCCCCAAGGCTGCTCTGTCCCTGCCTGGCTGATGGGCAGGGCTGGAGGCCTTGCAGAGCAGGGGCCATTGTGGGCACGGCTGTCCCAGGAGCTGCCCCCTGGCCCAGCTGGGCCCCACTTGGGCAGGAAGGAGGCTCCCAGCCCCGGCATGGCCGAGCAGCTCCTGCCTCCCCCTGCCTCTGCTCTGATCCCCACGCTGCCTGCTGCCACAAGAGCCCCTGGGCCAGGCTGTCAGAGGGCTGCTTTGCCCTCACCTGGCTCCCTGCCACCAGGGCCCTCCTGCTTGCTGTCAGACATGGCGGCTGTCTCTCCTGCGTCGCAGTCCTCGAGGCACGTTGTCGCTGCGAGGTGCAGATACTCTCTGTCTACGGGAGAAAGAAGGGGGGGGGGAGTTTGCAGAACAGGCCCAGAGCCACGAGGCTCTACTCCCTGCTCAGGCCTGCGTGAGCCCTGCTCCTGTCCGCTTTCTCCTCCCGTCGTCGCGCTGAGGAACACCGCAGTGTCCTGGCTGTTCCTCCGCTGATTCTGGGAAGGGAGAGGCAGGTGAGGCTGCAGCACAGGCCCAGAGCCCCGAGGTGTGGGGCCCCTCTGGTCCCTGGGCAGCCACGTCCCCGCCCTACCTTCTCCTCCCGGTGTCAGGTCGCACTGACGCTCGGCCTGAGCCCAGCGTCCCCTTTTATGGCCTTGGTGGCACAGGTCACAATGGCCACTCTGACATCGGAGCCGTGTACCCAAAATCGGGCAGCCATGGCCTCAGGTCCCTGGCAACCACTTGTGGTGGCCCCCTCGGGCACCGAGCTTCTGAGATGGGTCCGAGCGTTTGCTCAGGGTGGAAGCAGGGCCGGGACTCCTGCAGCAAGGGCAGGGTCAAATGCCAGGCCCTGGGGCAGCCATCCAGGGTGGCACTGTGGGCAGGGAGGTGCTGTTCAGGCACTGCCACGCCAGGGCTCCGGCCCCGGCCAAGGGAAATCTCTGCTCCTGCCCCTGGCAGGCGGTGGCCCAGAGAGCCAGTGCAGAGTCAGCTGCACTGCAGGGATTCAAACCCTGCTCTAGGTGAACTGATGTTTTCCTCAACACCTGTCTGCAGAAAACTAAGATGAACCTGATTTGATGCTGCTGCTGATCACCATTGGGTACAGGAGATAAACCTGGACACCACCACAGCTGCCTCCAGACCTCAGTTATCTGTCATCCTATGAACTAACAACTTCCACATTTCATATAAATGGAAAAATTAGTATTAAGCATCTGAGAATGGTCATTTTTATACTGACTCTGTGGAAAGACAGAAATTGCACTGAGAATTTTGTGTGTACATTTGACAGGAGAGCTTGCAACTGTCCTCCACTCAAGTCAAATACAGGAAGATGCTTTTCCTACGTTATAGGAACTTTGCCAGTTTGGTCCGTGCTTTCGTACTAGAAAATACATTGGAAAAAATCAGGAAGAGAAGCACAAACAACTCTTGTCAATTTTTCTCTTTCGTGTCTTTGCAAACATGCTCCTGGAAATCCAGATCCATGACTTCTAGAACAATCAGTGGCATCTCTGGGAAGCAGGGCAGGGGCTGACAGGCAGGGACACCCTGCAACTGCCTGACGCTGGGCCAGCAGGAGTTTGTCCATTTTCCTGTCTCCATGGCCGAGCCACCTTGGCTGGGAAACGATCCCTTCACTGCTCTAGGAGGGAGGCGCAGCCAGTGCAATGCCAGGGAGTGCCTTCACCCTGGAGGCAGGGAGGAGGCAGAGGGGGAAGTTGGGGAGCTGCACCCGGGGCTCTACAGGGCTCCCGGCCGGGGCTCGAAGCACAAGGAGCCAGAAGAGCTTGGCCGGACAATCCTGAGCTCTGGACACATTGTCCGCAGCACCGGGAACCCGTTTGCTTCTCCAGGCCCTGGGCACTGCTCCCGTGCTGCTCATGCAAGTCACACACAGACACAGAGCTACCTGCTCTGTCTCAACCCTCTTCAGCACTGGACAGCACAACACAGTAACATGTTCTCTTCAGTACATGGTCTAATTATTAATAGTCCTGCAAAGACTCTCATTCAAAGCACACACACACAAAAAACCAAACCTTGGTACCGACCTTGCATCAACACAAAATGCTTGTTGCTGTTCAGAAACACAGGGCAGCACTTTTGGCCAATGCTTTTTCCTGCAAGATCTTTCAAAGGATTGCAAAAGTGACTTTGTTTGGCAACTTCTTCAAGGAACAAACAGGAGAGGCTTCTGAGTTTTTAAAGATTTATTGGTTTGCTTTCACTTCCCTTTTGGCATCCTTACACTTCATCCGGCATTCCAGAAAATCGTGAAAATCCAAAATAATATCAGGGGAAGTTTCTGAATTCTTTCCTGTTTCTCTCAAAGACTTTCTTGACGTACATACAAGGGACTGGTCCGATAACATACAGAGAAGCAGTGGTTTCCCTAACTGGACATTACAAGACAACGTTATAGACTCCACTTTAGTAAAACACTTCTGTTGCCAGGTAATTGCAAAGCCTGAAGCTCTTCTAGAGGCTTTTCCCAGTGCAACTTCATTAGGTTCCTCTCTGCTCAACTCTCGAGCCTGTCCAGGTCTCACTGAAGGGCAGCAGAGCCTTGTGGTGCCTCAGGCCCTGCTCCCAGTTCTGTCCCATCAGCAAACGCTGAGGGAGCGCTCCGTGCCTTCTGCCCGGACCCTGGGGAATAAGGCAAACAAGGCTGGGCCCAGCACGGCCCCTGAGCCCACAGCTACCTGAGTTTGGAGCTCCCCTGTCCACTTCGCTGCCCCACTGTCCCTGAGCTGCCTCAGGGGCCTGGTATGGGAGGCAGGGACAAAGCTTTGCTGAAGTCCCAGCTGACACCAGCCACTGCTCTCCCCTCACAAGCCCAACCAGGCACTGCAGCACAGGTGGCTATGGGATTGGCCAAGCATGGTTTCCATTCCTGTTATACCACACGCTTAGAGATGGCATCCAAGAGGAGCTGTTCTGTCTCCTTTCTGGGGATGGAGCTGAGGCTGATGGGCCTGCAGTTTCCTGGCTCCTTCTTGGTGCCCTTTTGCAAGACTGCAGTGATGTTGCCTTTCCTCCACTGCTCATGCCTCTCTCCGGGGCTGTCTCCTTCCCTGACCTGCTGGCAGAGCGCCCTGTCCAAGAGGCAGGAGCAGAGATTTCCCTTGGCCCCAAAAGGGAACGCTGGGCTCAGGCCGACTGTCAGTGTGACCTGACAACGGGAGGAGAAGGCGGGAAGGAGCAGGGCTGACACACCCTGAGCAGGGAGTAGAGCCCTCATGTCTCTGGGCCTACTCTGCAAGCTCCCTAGCCTCTACTTTCTCCACAGAGAGAGAGAACAGCACCTCGAAGTGACCAGGAAACCCGGCCATGGAGCGGGACCGGGGCTGTCAGACCTCAGGGAAATCGGCCATGGAGCGGGACTGGGGCTGTGACACCTCAGGGAAATCGGCCATGGAGCAGGGCTGGGGCCGTGACACTTCAGGGAAACCGGCCATGGGTGTGGTTGGGCCTTTGACACCTCAGGGAACTCACCATGGCAGCCACCTCCCGAGATTTTGAAGTATTTGTTTCTTGGTTTAATGCCCTTCCAAGATCAATCTAGCATCTTTGCATATGAGCAGGACATACAAGGGTATTTAAAATTGAGTCTGATCCAATCATCAAAGACAATGGATGTTATCTCTAAACTTACCTTTTCATGATTGTCATACAATATGGAACTTTTCTTATGTCTGACTTAAAATATCCAGAATGCAAAATTCATTCTCAAGACAGGAATAAAGAAAACAATGAAAATAGGATATAGGCAATCTTCAAACGGCACCGAGAAGAAAATAAACATTAGAAAACCTTAGAAAAATTAGGTTTTCTTCTTCATCTTCTCAGTATGTGTTGTTTGAACATTTGTTGTCTTACTTGTCCCTCGCAAAACAAGGTGTGTTACAGCTTTATTGTCTCAGTGCTGCATTTCCCCAATCGCTGACTTGCCATTTAGGCTCTGCTTTATTGGAAATATACAACAAGGGACTCTCTATGGAAGAGAGTTGCACAAGCCTCTGGATTCCTGATTGTTCACCTCTGCCAATGCTCACAGTATTCTCCTAACACACCTGAGCTTCCTGTCTTTCAGAGAGAGAAAGATTCAGCTAAAGTCAAGCAAACAGGGCAGAGCAGATGGAAACCTTCCCTTGAGATGCTTTTGGGGAGGCCTGCAAGCACCCTGCCATCCCTTGGAACAGAGGTGGTCACCATGCATGGTGTTGCCTGTCTTGCCCGAGGTGCCCCACTGTTCCAGAAGGACTTTTGCCCACTTCATCACTTCTCTGTCCCTCCAGTTCCAGGGCCTCAAACCTGCTCTGTAAGGGACTAAACCTGTTAGTCAGCTATAAGTTTTCAGAATAAGGCACTGACCGTGGCTCTAACTAGTTTTTTTAGTCAGGTTTACAATATATATTCAGAAAAAGAAGGAGCAGAGAAGGTGTGAAAAATGCTTATTATATGATTGGCTTTTCGCAAATATTAAAATTAATACTATATGTGTTATGTTGGAAAGTTATGTTGTATTAATCCTTTTTTGTAGTGCTATCCTAATCTTTTAAAGTAGTGTGGTGAATATAGTTTTAGGCTACAGAAACTCTGTGATGTAAGATACATTTTCTAAATAGCTCATGGAGAGATAACAGTAACAAGACACCAAAACTCTGAGAAAAGAAATATTGCCTCCTTGTCGGGAAGAACCAGACTTGGAGGGACCAAGACAATTGATTTACAAGATGAAGGAGGGGTTGACAAGAAGAAGAAAACACCCATTGTTTGAAAAGAATTTTGGCATCATGTATGAGATATATGAATATGCAACAGGCTATTACTTTTAAGGGTTAATCCTTTGTTAGCAAAGTGTCTTCTGAGGCAGAGCAGAGCACCCAGATATCTGTAATTCTGTGCATATTTTTTTTGTCCTTTATTGTCCTACCTCTAATTGTCCAAATTATTTTTTCTCTAATTTTTATTCTTATTTTTATAACTAATTTATTACTATTAAACTTTTAAAATTTTAAAGCAAGTGAAATTCTGCATCCTTTGTGTCCACTATCAGCGGGCATCCTTCTTCCCAAGCTTTGTCAACCTCCCTCTGGGTTTGAGATCAGTGAAACGTGCCCAGCCTTGAGTCTTGGAAGACAATTCTAGCAACAAGTACTTTGCTTTTCTAAGCCCTGGCCATCATTTCGAGCTAGTAGGCTGCTATGTGTGTCACAGGTTAAACGTCTCTTCCTGTTGATCAGGCTTGGAAGTGTGTAAAGCCCAGGCATGACAGGACATGTTTTCTTCAGGAAATGGGACGTAGGGCCCAGTTTGCAACGGGTGCGGGCCCGCGCCTTCCAGAGCGCCACAAGGTGCGCGGCGCCATTGCAGGGCTCAGGGCGCCGCCTTGGGGGCGAGAGCCGCCATGACAGCGCGGGCGCCGCGCGGCGGGGCCGCAGGGCGGGAAGGGGCGGGCGGGTGTGAGGGGCGGGGCGGTTCGTGCCCAGAGCCGAGCCCGCGCTGTTCCCAGGCGCATTCCCGGCTCGGTGTTGGGAGCGTGGGGCCGCTGCTCGGGCTCTGGGAGAAGCGTGCGGCCGCTGCGGTGTCCCAGCCCGCAGAGCTGGCTGCTGTGCCAGGCTGCCGAGGCTGCAGTGCCACAGCTGCCATGCCAGAGCTGCCGTGCGCCGTGGCAGTGCCAGAGTCCCTGGCAGAGCCGGCCTGGCACTG